TCAGTTGTGGCCTGCGCTTTGAGAGAGACACACCATCTTCTAGAAACTCGCCCTTCTTTCTGGCAGGTACCCTTGGACTACCTGAAGGCTGTGGAGAATGTGAGCTCTAACTCTCCTTTAAGGGGAAGGAACAAGTTTAAAAGTTCACTGCGTGTCATGAATGAGGCATCCTTTTTCTCATTTGGAGATTACCTTTCCAATTTCTTCTAATTTTACACAATAAGTATCAGGGAAAACTACTAAATCGCATAATCCCAAGAACCATGGATGACAAGAAAACCCGTACAGCGCTTTTCATTTAAGAGATTTAATGTGTCCTAAAATATTCTAGACTCCTCCAGAATGTAAAAGTGGTTTCCAGAGTAATTAGTGAAGACTCATATTGTGAACACATGGATTTTGTGCCCTGTCTTGGGTTGTCTTTTCATTTGAATAAAAAGAGGTACAGGGCTTCCCTGGTGGCGCAGTGGTTGAGAGTCCGCCTGCCGATGCAGGGGGCACGTGTTCGTGCCCCGGTCCGGGAGGATCCCACATGCCGTGCAGCGGCTGGGCCCGTGAGCCATGGCCGCTGAGCCTGTGCTCCGCAACGGGAGAGGCCACAACAGTGAGAGGCCCGTGTACCGCCCAAAAAAAAAAAAAAAAAGGTACATATTTTTGCTTTAAAATAACTCAAGGCCCTTGAATTTGAAATAGGAAGTTTATCTTAATACAGAACTTGCATTTCTCAAAATGTCATTATTTGAAAGGTCATTAGAGTTCCTAGGAGCACTTTCATTTGTATTTTCTAACTGCACACTCAAGGATCTGAAAGGGTTTCATTTAAAAAATGAAAGAAAAGAATTGGTATGCCAGGATTCGAACTGATTTATGTTTTTGACTCTTGTAAATGGAACATGAAATGAGAAGATCCGTGGAGGTCTCTGGGAGAACTGGAATGTTATTCTGCTTCCAGCCTTAGGTTTGTCAGCTGGGAGCTAGCTCAGAGCCAGACAACGACAGCCACTGACACATGGAGGGATGAATAATCAGTGTGTTAGAAGGTTCCCGATTGGGTTTCCTTGCTGTAGAATAAAGCCTTCATCTGGTCACTTCACACTCTAGAGAGCTAGTGGTTCATACTGACTGAATGAAGTTCTGTGTCCTAGAAATAGATCTAAAAGCATGAATTAATGATGATCACGCCTCTGCCTCTCCCCCCTGCCCCCCATCACCACCCCCCAAGGGAAACAAAGGCAGTAAAATAATCAGACTGATCACTCCAGGCCAAGCTAATGATTTCCTTTGTATGCTGTATTGTTCTGCCCCAAACCTCATGTTAGATGCTATGCTGATGGTGGCCGAGAGGTTAGAGGGTCCTTTCAACATTGAATCAGTCATGGATCCCATCGATGTGAAGATTTCGGATGCTATTATGAACATGCAGGAGAACAGCGTGCAGGTGTCTCAGAAGGTAAGGAAGGCCGGGTCCTGGAAAGGATAGGAAGGGGCCCGCTCCAGCCTGCGATGTCACTTCCATCACGTGACCACACTTATGCCAATACAGGTTTTCCAGGGATGTGGACCCCCCAAGCCTCTCCCAGCTGGTCGGATTTCCCGTTCCATCTCCGAAAGTGCCTTCAGTGCCCGCTTCAGACCCTTTCACCCCGAGGAGCGCCCAACCACGGCAGCTGGCACTAGTTTGGACCGACTGGTGAGCACTTTGGCAGGAATGGCCGTGTTTAATGACAAAGAACGGAAAACATTTGCTCCAAATGCATCTTTATTTGGGACGCTTCCAACTGTTGGGTCTTTTCAAGCAAAAGTTTTCCAGCAACTTGCACAGGGATGTCAGTGAATCTGCCTCTTTTGATTCCCTAGCTCAGAAATTTCATCCGTAGGCTAACAAATGGGGTGTGCTGAGGCATATCTGAACACCTGCCTTTTGTTTCACAGTGTGGGTAACACATAGGTTGTATCCTGAGTTATAAAAGCCCGCGAGAAGAGACTGTGTCGTATCAGTGTATCTCCAGGGTGTGAGACCCGGTGGGCCTCAGATGGCGGTTCTAATGGAGAGCGAGAATGGATGGTGGATCTAGGCAACATTGTTTTCACAGAGCTTCTATTTCACCTGTTGATTCTTTGGGTGATTTTATACATTTTACATATCAGTGTGATCTGCATTTTTCTCTTCTGACTACGGAGAGACTCTGGAGATACTTTACAGTGATGAAAAGGGCACATGTGTAGGTGGTTTTGGGGTTTTACAGAGGTCTCTCTTTCTCTCTTTCTTAATGAGGTTACTGACGTCAAGGAGAAACTGAAGCAGGCCAAGAAGTTCTGGTCCTCTCTTCCTAGTAACGTCTGCAACGATGAGAGGATGGCTGCAGGAAACGGCAATGAGGATGACTGCTGGAATGGAAAAGGCAAAAGCAGGTTAGCCTCCATCGAACGGGTGTGCAGTCTCTCCCTTCGTAGATGCCCGGAGACCTTTCAGAGAAGGTTTGCTCAGTTGTTGAGTCGAGGCAGCATGAAGCATTTCACAAGTAGGTGGCAACGACATGGAAGGCTTCTAGACATTCTTAGGAATTGGCTCTGCTGTAGAAGTGTCAGGAAGGCCCCCAGCTACTTGCAAAGAGTTCTGGGTCAAAGGTTTGTGACAGTGGTTATAAGCTGGTGTTACAGCTGCAATGAGGGATTGAGCAGTTTTAATAGTGTCATTATTTTTAATGTTTTATACCTGTGGTCCTGTGCTCGATGGCCTGGCCTCATAAAGTACCAGTTCTCCAAAGGTCTCATTCTCTTACTTGACGATGCTCTGTTTCCCTCCCCTACATACTCAGTAAGTTAGACAAGTACCCACCTCACTCTGACCCACCAACCTCCACGAAATGGGTAGTTTTCAAAAAGGTCACAGTCAGATTGGAGAAACATAATGTATACCCAGGAAAAGGAGAGATTCGAGTTATTCGAAAGGCAAGCACTTGCATTTCAGTGCACTCTGTGGAAAATGCTAGAACCTAGGCAGGAATCTTTGACTATCTTCTGTAACTTTTTGTTTTACTGATCATGTGAATGGGGTCATTCCTCATTGCAGGTACCTGTTTGCAGTGACAGGAAACGGATTAGCCAACCAGGGCAATAATCCGGAGGTCCAGGTTGACACCAGCAAACCGGACATACTGATCCTTCGTCAAATCATGGCTCTTCGAGTTATGACCAGTAAGATGAAGAATGCTTATAATGGGAATGATGTGGACTTCTTTGATATCAGTAAGCATTTCTGCTTCTAAAGGACAATTTGTTGTATACCTTGTGATGAGAAGCAGCAGAGTGAAATCTCTATTCCATTTTTTTTTTTTTTTTTTCCAAAAATAGGTGATGAGAGCAGTGGAGAAGGAAGTGGAAGCGGATGTGAGTATCAGCAGTGCCCTTCGGAGCTTGAGTATAACGCAACTGACCACTCTGGGAAGAGTGTCAGCGATAAAGCCAGCAGCGCTGGGGTCCCCGCTGGGGCGCGGCCCTACCTCCTCCTCACTGTCTTCTGCATCTTGTCCCTGGTTATGCAGGGAGAATGGAGATAATTCTCAACCTTAGAGAAAAAGTGTTCATCATCAAAAAGGCACCGGTTATCACTTTTATACCATCCTAGTGACTTTGCTTTTTAAATGAATGGACAACAATGTACAGTTTTTACTATGTGGCCACTGGTTTAAAAGATGCTGACTTTGTTTTTTCATTCAGTTTTGCGGGAAAAGGGGACTTGTACGTAAGGTCGGTCCTGCTTCCTCAGAATCATGTTAAATGTGGCTAACAGTGTAGGTACAGAACTGTAGTTAGTTGTGCATTTGTGATTTTTATCACTCTGTTTGTTTGTTCTTTTTGTTTTTGTTTTGTTTTGTTTGTTTGTGGGGTTTTTTTTTCTTCTTCAATACGGTCTCACCTTGTTTCTTACAAGAAAACCAGGGGCCTTTCTTGGCATGTAACATGTACGTATTTCTGAAATATTAAATAGCTGTACAGAAGCAGGTTTTATTTATCATGTTACCTTATTAAAAGAAAAAGCCCAACAAGCAGTAAAATTGCCATTTATCCCTGTGGTTTTTAGTTGCCTTATCTGGAGAGAAGAGGAGGTCATTTAAAAAATTTTTATTAAGTTAGGACAGAATGTGAAGGCGCAAGGGGGCTTCTGAGTCACTTGTCAGGTTGTATTCAAACATCAACACAAGAAGGTTATACCTCATTTAGAGCTGGTGACTGGAAGAGACTGCAGACTACCCATTTTGGTTGAGTTGGATTGTATAAACTAAGATCACAGGTCCATTTCTTGAAGCCGCTTATACTTAAAGTGTAGTCCATCTAGAAGATTCCTGATGCATTCTCCCTCGAAAGATATAAGGCATGCAGGATATCGTAGTTATCACCTGTTCACACTTAGTTTGGGGGTGGGTTTGGTTTGGTTTGTTTTTTTTTATCCAGGCAAGTGAGCACGCCCACCGTTTGCTGGTCTTCGTGTCCACACTTGACCCTCCTTGAATTGATATCCCAACAGTCTCATTTGGTCCTTCTTGTTGCAGATTTCAACCCCGGTCATATAGAGGGAGCTGTCTGGGGGCTAGTACAGCCTGGGCTCAGGGAGTAACTATCAACACTCAAGCAAAATTTTCGTCCAAGCCAGGTGTATTTGCGTTTGTTTTTGGATCCCAGGTGTTTTTTTTTTTAAAAGAGATTTAAGGTGTCTTATTTGAGTCTTTTTCTCTCCCAGCCCCGTCTGATGGGAAAGGCAAGGGTCTTGCCATGCATGGTTCACAGCTGTGTGCTACCCTATCAGCCAAGTAGCCCACTTGGGGAGATCTGAGTGTCCAGATTGTTTTTCATGTGTTGGGATTTGGCGGGGCACAGGGAAGGAGTCGGAGTAGGTAGAGCTGAGAAGACCACATCTCAGTGATGACCTTTAGCCGCTCTGGTGAACGGGCAAAGGCCATTATCTCTTGTCCCAGGCCAAAGAGTAAGTAAGCACTGCCTTGGCCCCTTTGGAGCCCTTTCTTTCCTTGAGTCCTTACCAAATGACAGCCCATAAAACTATGAGAATGTAACAAAACCACGTTAAAAAGAGTTCCCAGAAGTCTTCAGAAAGAATCATGCTCTGCAAGTCTCTTCCTGCTTTAGACAGCCATTAAGATCCCAACCAATTCCCCGGAAGCTAAAACTCACAGAGAGGTTGTTTGTGTTATTGTTTAATCTTCAGTTGTAAGAGTAATTCTCTATTTTTATATTGAAACATAATTACTTGATAGCTCAGGGTCTACATTTCCTTCAACTTTTTACACCAAATTCTATAGAATGGACAAAATGGAATATTGGGGGCTGTTGTCAACAGAGGCTTAAATTTTATTAGAAGTAGCCAGTTATTTATTAAAGCATGATGTTAATAAAATAGGCGTATTCTGGCTGGTGTGTATAAGTGTTTTGTTCTTTTATTTTTTAAACAAATCACAGAAGACAACATAAAATTGAAAAGGCGGTCCATTTATGTATGAGGAAAAATTGATTGTAAATAGCTAAGCTGCCTTGTGAGAACTTGGAAAATGTGCTGATACTTAGTAACTACCTCAGTTGCGAGGAATTTCCTTTTTAGCTTAGACTGCTATTATTTTTACTTGGTAGAAATGAATCTGGTCTCCAAAATGTGGCTCAAAGAGTTATCCCCATAGACTTTGTTAGATTGTTTTTTAATTTAAAACCTTGAACTCTGCCCAGCTGTTTTCTTTCAGTCAAGTTCTTGAAACCAATAACATTTTCCGAATTAAATATTCTTGAAGGTTCTTCTGGAGTCTAACTGATTTGTTTTCTTTCTTTGCATTTTTTTCCCTGTTACTCTGTTATTATTTAAATTGTCTCTTGCTTTTGAACTTGAATATGAAATAAACAAATCCTAGACTTTTCCACTCAGGTCTGACTGGATAACTCTTGGCTTCTAACCAGCTGGCAGGCTCACACCCCTACACCCTCCCCAAAACAGGAATAAAGGCAAGTTGAATATTTTAAAACCTAAGAGTTTAGCATATGAGGTAGAAGAAAAGCTTTGTGAGGAGACCTTACTTTTCCAAAGCCTCAGTTAATAGCACGTGAAGGGTTCGTGCTTTACAAAGTCGTTTCTCATCTGTACCTTAAGAAACAACATTTTATGACACTTAGATTTGTACTTTATTTCAAAAAGTCAGTAATTAGCACCTATGATTTTGATAAAACCATACAAACAATTGACTTAAATTTTTGAACTTTAGTTCCTGTGTGTTAGAACCCTAACAGTTTGCAGGTAATTTTTTACGAAAATTAACAGTTAAATTTTTGCAGTAAAATTTATCATATGTGATGACAGAACCACAATAAAAATAAGTATAGATGGTGCTACACAAAATTCTACTTGCCCTTTTGTGTTGGCAGACTGTGTCCATTTGCATAGCTAAAAGGTAGTATGTTAATAACTACTACAGGAAGCCTCTGTGTGTGTGTGTGTGTGTGTGTGTGTGTGTGTGCGCTCACTCTCAAGCAAATACCAGACTACCAAATTCAACTTTCTTTTTTTGAAATAAAAAAGCACTGAGGGGCTTCCCTGGTGGCGCTAGTGGTTGAGAGTCCGCCTGCCGATGCAGATCCCACATGCCACGGAACGGCTGGGCCCGTGAGCCATGGCTGCTGAGCCTGCGTGTCCGGAGCCGCTGAGCCTGCCTGTCCGGAGCCCGTGCTCCGCAACGGGAGAGGTCACAGCAGTGAGAGGCCCGCGTACTGGGGGGGGAAAAAAAAAAAAGCACTGAGAAGTTTCTTCCAACTTAAAGCTTAGTCGGCATTCCGTGATACATTATACTTTAAAAGTTCAGTTTCCACTTTTAAACTCCTAATTATTTTCTTCTAAAAATCCTTTTTATATATGTGAAAAATACCTGAAAGATAACCTGGTCATATAGGAGTTTCGAGTCCATCAGTAAGGCAAATGCCATATAATATTTGTTTGTCTAATTTAGTTTTTACATAGGTAATATATAGACAGGGTTTAAAAACCAAAACACGTACTATAAAGGTGCAAAGCGCAAGTTTCTGTCCTGTTCCTGCATCCATCTGCCCAGTTACCTCCCACACGTTAGATAAACTTATTAGTTGTTTAACATATCTTCTCTCAAAGTTCCTTTATACAAATAGAAGCAAATATGAATAGATTTTTCTTTTTTGCCTCTTTACATGAAAGGTAGCATATCATACCCAATCATCTCATATTTTTTAGATTAACTTTAAAAAGTATTGAGAGGAGGAAGAGGGGTCCCTGAAAGATAATGGATTCCTGTTCTAAAGGCATGGCTTCTCCATGCTACCACAGTTTGCATTTTTACTGCATTTTGGCCCAGATTAATCTAGGTAATTTTTCAAGAAACAAACATGGACTTGACGAGGAGCAGTTGGGCGTTGTAGTGCTATCATCCTGGAGTACACGATTAGGATGCTGTCTGTGGTTCATTAAGCTTCATTTTTGGCGCTTTATTTCCATATCATCACCAGTGAAGACATTGGCAAAAGCGATGGGGAAGATCCTCTTAGAACACAGCACATTAATACCACTCTTAATGCTTGGAAATGGTTCAGAAATGAAATGTGCTCTGGAATCGACTCAATTTAATAGAATGAAGTACTCTTAATGTTTCCTCATGCCCAGATGCCTGGAAGCACCATCAACTGCCACACAGGATGGGGGTGAGAGTGTTAGGAAAATGTGTAACTAGGTTGTCTGGGTTACTGCGTGATATTTCTGTCCAGCGGTGGAGGAATCATTAGGATATGCAAATGTCCACATTCAGTTTTCATGTAAGATTAAATTTTTACTCATCAATGTTTGAAGTGATTTCTAAATTCGGAATTAATCAGTAAAAACTACAGAAATCCATTTCTCAGCATGAGTGTCCATGTGCGGAATTAAATGCCCATTTTACTCTACTTTTGACATTTAAATGTTAGGAATTCTGAAAAAATAATACAGGATCATTGTAAAGAACAAGGTTTTCATGTGTCGATCCTATCAGGTTAAAGCTGATGAAAGGTGACAGGTGTGGTTAAAGAATTGAAAAAACAGCACATGTGTGCTGACCCAACATGCTTTTCTAAAGGTCTTATGGACTTTGATTAAAGTTCTCTGCGCTTGTGTTTCTTAGCAGACAGAGTTGGAAGTCCTGTGTGTTTGTGTGTGTATACACACAATCATATCTACACACAGAGGTGTATTTGTGTATTTTCAAACACTTAATCCCAGTTAGACTCTACCCAGTTAGACTATCCCAGTCACTTATGGGCTGCCCTGCTGGTAGTGGTGTGACACGCTTGGGAAATGCACACTAGTTTAATAATAGCCTAAGGGAAACATAATTTGGAAGGTAAGTCTCCTGCCAAGAAAAAAATATATACACACATGCACATATAAAATGCATTCTAGATAGAACTTCTTAGATTTACCACTGCCTGGGATTTGCTTTTCTGCATCACCATTGACAGCCTCAAGCTGCCTATAACCCAGTGTTCTTGGTGACTCACGGCATGGGCAGTTGGTGCCAGGTTGGCCAGAAAGAAATAATCATGGTCAGTGGGTGGTTTTCTGAACATGCACTAGGATCTCAGTCCTCTTTCACTACACTTGCCTTTCAAGGTCTTCAGTGCCCCTGCTCTCATGTCTCAAGTGTAAAGAAAAATTGTTGTTATTCTGTTGGGAGTTCTGAGTACTTTGGAATGAGCTCTGGCAGCAGCAAGGAACAGTTATTTGGGCATGTTTACTGTAAAAAGGAAAGTAGTTCCTTGCCGTTAATTCACCTGTAACCTCTCGACTGAGCAGCGAGGTGGGATGAACCTGTGTGCCTGGCACAAAAGCTGGGCCACGGCAATGATCTCACACGATCCGGCAGAGTAGAAATCCCTCCATTTTGCAGATGTGTCAAATGACTGCAAGAAGCTGGGTAACTTGTCCAAGGGGCGACAGGTAAGAAAT